CATTTCTGATGCATAGAAGCTTGTCTAATGCATGCTTACTGCTAACCCTGAACGTGCTTCAAATTATTTCAGGACTTGTAGGACACACTGGACAGATTCAATATTTCCTTCAATAAATATGAGCAAATCGTGGGCAAAAGAGAGGTGAGTCAGTTTAATTTTTCTGCAGCTAGCGTGATAACCAAGTCTTGACTGAGAGGCTACTTAATTTAACATGTGTGATAGGCAGTTCATGGTAATGACGAATAGGTAAGGGATAGTGGATCCTCTTGCCTGAGGCCTCTTGTTCCTTTGAAGTACCCATTTACCGTTCCGTTGTAACCCACCATGTAATTTGTCGTACAAATGCAGGAACTCCAATGCCGAAACTTATCAGGAACTCCCAATTATTCAAGACTAGAAAATAGAAAATCCCACAAGAGAGTATCGAATGCCTTTTCTATATCAACTTTAATGGTAATCTTTTTTGTACCTTTGTTCTTGTGATATCCGTTGATTAGCTCAGTACCCAGTAATGTGTTCTCTAGAAGTAGTCTCCCCTGTACAAAAGCCGTTTGACTTGGTAAGATCAAAGTAGGCAGAATTGGTTTTAGTCTCTTGACCAGTAGTCTGGAGATAACCTTGTAGATAGTATTAAGGCATGAGATAGGCTTGGATTCCGTAATTTTTGATGCACCAGGGAATTTCGGAACCAAGGTCAAGATTGTGGCATTTGCAGACGAGGGAAGGAAACTTGATGTGAAGAAATCAGTGATCCCTTTGATGACATCTTCTCCTACTGATTCCCAAGCCGCCTTGAAGAACCCAAAGGTTAAACCATCTGGTCCTGAGGCTTTGTTCGGATTTAGTCTGAACATCATTGATTTTATCTCTTTAGGATTGGGATTAACAGCATTTGACTACTCTGAGAAGGGGTGATCGTATGATTGAGAAGAGCACAAAACCAACCGGGAGAGGATGAGATTTCTGGTGGTGAATAAGATGGTCCCAAGACTGAACGGAAATGAGTTACTGCAAGAACAGACATTTCTATAGGGTCAGTTATCCATACTCCCAAGGCACCTAGAAAAGCTCTTATTGCATTGTAGCTTGATCTAACTTGACAAATCTTGTGGAAGAATGCTGTATTTAGATCACCCTCCCTCAACCAATTGATTCTCGTTTTGCCTGAAAAACATCTCTTCAATTTCTCTCAAAAAATTCCATTTTTGGTGCAGGTCTCTTTCTGCCTGGAAATTAGTGGAGCTCGGGTTTTGTAAGGCATGTACCTGCACAAGTTGAAGCAAACTGTGAGTTTCAAGTACTCTCTCATGTATCTTAGAATAGTTATCTATGTTGATTTTCTTAAGATCACTCTTTATCATTTTTAGCTTCCAACACAATTGTGTTAAAGTTTGACAGGTAGTTCCGGCTAGAATCCAGGCGTCGTTCATCAACTGAGTAAACCCCGGGTGTTTGGTGAGATAATTTTGGAATTTATAAGGGTAGGTTCCTGCTTTAGGGAGGTTTAAGGACATGTTTAGAAGACAGGGTGAATGGTCTAATAGGTCGGGAGGGAGAAAAGTGGCTATGGCATTTGGGTAGGCTGAGATAGTGTTGTTGTTGACTAACAGGCGATCAAGCTTTTTTGCTTTAGGGTTTTCACGTATGTTGTTTGTCCAGGTATGACATGGCCCAAGATAACATAGATCAAACAGTCTTGTTTGGAGAAAACAGTCCTGCATTTGATGCATAAGAGAGTCTGTGAAGTTCACTGCTGGGTTGGAGTGCTCCATAGGAAATAAAATTTGATTTAAGTCACCGCCCACAACCCAATTTTCTGTTTGAAGCCCTAGAGTTGAATGGTTTTGAAGAAGATCATTCCACAATCTGCTCTTTCATCAGAATGATTAGAAGCATAGATAGCCATGTAGTATAAGTGAGGGAGGTTTGGGATGTGTATTGAAAAAGTTAGGTGTTTGCTAGATTGGGATAAGCGTTGGACAACAAGAGGGTCTCTCCAGATAATGATGATACGACCATCCTCATCTTAGAGATGGTTTGAGAGATACTTCCAGCCATGGCAAATCTTAGTAATGATAGGGTTTAGGAAAGGTTCTTTTATATGAGTTTCTAATAGGACATCAAAAAGGAGATTTTGAATATTAAGCCAATCTACAAAAGGTTTAAGCTTATCCGGGTCATTTAGGCCACATACGTTCCCAAAAAAGAGCTTGACACTCATTAGGAAAGGGTATGAGGTTCCTCATGAGGAGGAGGACCTCGGGGATCAAAAGAAGATTTAGTGTTAGAGGGCTGATTGATAGTGAGGGTAGGAGGGACAGTAATCAGATTGAGGTCAGGGGGGCTAGAGGTAGAGGAGGGGTTGGGGTTTTTGTTGGTGATAAAAGGCTTCGCAGTAGAAGATTGGGGCAGGGAAATAATTGGGGAAGAACGGGATCTCTTTAAAGATGGTATGTGGTTAGGAGCAGAAGAGGAAAAGATAGTGGTATTAACAAGGGGTTGAGAGTTAGGTTGGTCTGGAGGGTTAGGGTTGAAAAGTGTTTGTGGTTTTGACGGGTCTAGGGAGGGAGTTATAGATGGTTTGCTAGGAGTAGGGACAGAGGAGGATGAAGTTTCCGGGGTGATCTTAGGTACAGGTTGGTAAATTTTTTGGTTCTTACGAGTGGCTTTTGAGGGAGTATAATTGGTCGAGACTGAGTTTTTTGTTGAATCATTCGGTTTTGTGGTTTCTTTTTGCTTCGTATTTGGGTCTTTTCCTTTTTCAGATGCTTGTGGATTGTAGCTGAGGTAGTTTCACTGAATGTGCCCGAGTTCTTTACAGTGTGCGCAGGTGGGAGGAACCCAGGGGTAGTGAACTTGCACTTCAACTACCTCCCCACTCTGTCTTTCAAATTCCACAACAGGAGGCAGAGGTATTGTTAGATCAACTTCCACTTTCATGTGTGAGACTGTTAGGCTGACCATATTTTTTTCTGAATTCATCAGTCTCTTTTGGTTCTCCAACTAAACATGCTACCAAACTGAGGCTCTCATCATAGTGAAGATCAAGCGGAACCCCAATGAGATGCACTCAAATTTGAATTGCTTTCAATGGAGGGGGAGGACATAGAGTGTTCTGAGTTTCACTGGGCAGTGTGAAACATGGATTCACTAACATACCAGATGTTCTTCTCTAGGATCTTCTGCCTTAGGTAATCACTTGGATTCTCACTATCACTGAATGGTTCAGAAGATTGTTGTGAATCTCTAGTCTCTTTCCTTTTCCCCACATATAGTTGAATACGCTTTGTATTTGATTGAAAGGAGGAGGCCTCCCATTGAAATAACATATGATGAAGTCCTTATGGATATCTGCTCCTTTTTTGAAAACACAGCCAGGAATGACTATGCGCGGTCGTCCATAGGGAGCAATGGTGACAGGAGCAAGACATCTCAACGACATATCAGCCGAAGCACAGAGCTTTCAACTAAGGTGGGGTTTTTGTTTGTCGGTCTATCAGGAAAATTGGTAGAGGTAGTTTGCTGCGGGTGGTTGAGGCGAGGGTAGTTGTCTGTTGGGGGTTTGTTGAGGCCGGGACAGAGTTATCAAGTAGAGGGGTCTGGGGTTGGGAGTAGCTCGCAGAGGAAGCTTTATTGGTTTGAATAGGGGAGGTGGCCTTTGGTGGGAGAATAGTGTAGTTTTGGTTTAGGTTTGATTCAGTGTTTTGAAGATTTACTGTAGCATAATCAGATCCGATATCATGTATAGTAGCTTCGGTAGTTGTGATTGAGTTTTCTTGCTCTATTTCCATCAAAGTGGCTCCAGGGCAGTTAGTAGTTTCTTGCTTCTTCACTGTGGTGGAAGCGGTTGTAGTAAACGGAAGAGACTCTTTCCGATTGCCCTTTCGGCGACCAGAGGAGACAGTTTTTGAAGAGGCTTCAATGAGGGAAGGAAAGTTTACAGGGGATAGAGGTGCAGCTGGACCAGGGGGTCAGAAGGGAGGATGGGAGGAGGTTTACCAGAAGCAAACGCTGGAGGGTTCACGCCGGAAAGGCTCCCAGGGACCTTCCGCACAAATTACATTGGAAAATGTGACAAGGAGAGTTTCAGAGAGAGAAACTTTACTTCTTTTATCTTCTTCACTGATAAAATGTATATTTGCTTATCCACTATTTCTTATCCCAAGACAAGCTTTTCAACAAATGTATTCAGTAATGTGCTTTGCTGCAACTATATAGAAAGGGGAAACATCACTTTCGGATGACATAACCGTTCCTTTTATCTTCTGTGAAAATCTGAATATTATGTCAAATGCACCATTCTGCTTTTCATGTTTCGCTGATCAGAAAAAAGAAAAAAAAAGTAAATAAAACCATTGGATATGCATGTGAACATTTTCTATATGATGTGAAGAACGGACAAACTAGCATGCAATGCTTCTGTACGGAATCTTATTCTCTTTATGTAGAAGACTATACACCAACCGATTTTGTGATGTCCCATTGGAGTTCTAAAACTATATATATATGTGTATGTATGTCTTATATATATGTATGTAATTGTAGGGTCCACTAAATAGTGTAGAACCCTCTGCAAAAAGTTCTACACTATTTAGTGGACCCTACAATTACATACATATATAAAATATATACATACATATATAGTTTTAGAACTCTAATGGGATAAAACCCACATTGAAAATGGTCTTAGGTTTTTTTTTTTTTTTGTTCAAAGAAAATGGTCTTAGGTTACTGACTATTATTGCTGGTAAATAAAAAGGTATTTACAATATAGAACAGGACCCAGTGTTATAGTTTGGGGCCTGTGAGCCTTTTTCTTGCAACATTATAGTGTGATTTGTATTTTGTAAACTAGTCAGATCACAGAATGTGAGCATATGCTACTAGATGTGAGGCAATAGGCATAGCCGCAGATAAAATATAGATATCTGATTGATGCAATTTGATAAAAGCCAATAAAAAGACGAGACGGCACAGTGTTTACTTAAGCAAACCGGGGAAGTTCTGCTGTTCTTTATTTACCGGTGACCAAGTGACCCAAAAAACGGCACACAGTCCAAGCCTATCGTCTTCATCATCATCTGAAAACTGAGAGATGAGCTTTGACCTTGTCGTCGTCTGCTTTGCTTTCTCAAGATAAACCCTAATTTCATCGCCGGAAAGATGGAGGGAAGCGAATCTCAGATCTATCACGAGCGACAACGACTTCAATTCTGCCTCCTTCACTCGCTCAACAATCTATTTCAGGTGATCCGATCCATCTCAGTAAAGATTTGAGATCTGAGATTTGCTAATTGCTCTTTTTTGTTTTTGACTGTTTAGGACAAGAACGCATTCACGCGGGAAAGCTTGAACTCAATCGCGGAGAACCTCGTAACCGACGATCCGAACAAAGAAACGTGGACGACGACGCATCCTCTCTCCTTCTTCCTCAAGCCTCACCACAACACGGTCACTGGCAACTACGACGTGAACGTGATGATGGCAGCTCTGGAAGGGAAAGGGAAGAGTGTTGTCTGGCATGATAAGCGTCGTGGAGCTTCTTCGATTGATCTTGATTCAGATGCTCTGATGGGGATTGTGATGAATGTTCCGGTTAAAAGATACGGTGGGCTTTGGAGAAGTAGGCATTGGGTTGTGGTGAGGAAGATCAGTGGAGTTTGGTATAATTTGGATAGTGATCTCCTTGTGCCAAAGCCGTTTAAAGACGAAGATGAGGTTAGGGTTTTTTTAGATCAGAATCTGAGTTTAGGTTCAGAGGTTTTGCTTGTGAACAATGCTTAACTTGTGTTTAATCCAATCAAGTGTGAAAATGTACATAGTTCGTTGTATCTTTTTTAGTTACAGTAGAGTTGAAAGAATACTTTTCTTGAATGTTTAGTGAGTTTTCTCCACTTGTGAGTTATCATGTTCCAAGGCAAGATATCGACTCGACGATAGGAATGTTCCAAGGCAAGATATCTGTCCACGTTTGCGTTTTGAAACATGGCATAGATATTCGATTATTGTTCTCTTCCCAGTGGAATGTTCTCTCACATGTAAACACTTACAATCCAGAGTATGATCTTTAGTGTAAGCCATAACGCTGCCTTGGAAATGACTGTAAATAATCATTTAAATAAGTGTAATTTATGTCTTTAATGAATTTATTAATAATCATGGCCTCTCTGTTCTCTATCTGAAACTCGATTAGGCAACTTTTTGAAGCAGCAGTCCCTTTATATAATCCCTCACTCTCCTCAACTCTGTTCTCTAGACTCTAAACTGCTCTCACTCTCTTGCGATATGTCGGCTACAGGAACAAAACGGTGCAATCCAAACACTAGACCAGTAAATTCTTCTGGTAAGCAGTTCTCAGCCAAGGGACCGTATGGTAAGAATCCGGGATGCTCAACGAGCTGTGACTTGAGGTTGCCGAGGAAAACAGAAGTCACAACAACAAACCTGATCAAGCATCTCAGCTGTAAACTCGTCAACGTTTGGTGGTGATTAGGAGGAAGAAGAAGAAGAAGAGACCTCCAACATTGAAGGCTTCTTCCAAAAGGGTCATCTCTGTCGCTAATGATGCCTGTAGAACTGAGGCTATAGATGACTGCATACAGTTCATAAACTCGTCAACCACTTTCACAAGATCAAGTTCTACCAGTGGCCGTACATGTTAAGCTTTTAGTTACGCCCATAATATCTAAGACTCTATTTCTTTGCCGCTCGTTGGCTAAGGAATAGCTTATTAGCTAACTGCGTGTGTATATATAGAGTAGAAGTTAGAAGAGAGAACTATTTAAGTGATGTTGAAAAGCTTCGAAAATGTGAGTTTTCTTTTGAAGGTCAAGAAACGTAATTATATATATATATATATATATATATATATTGTCTATAAAAGAAAGGGGTGATAACACTTAAATAAACATTGTTAAAAAAAAAGTTGTCCAAAAAAAAAAAATCATTGTTAAAAAGAATTATGATCTAACGGGTCAACAATAAATTAAAAAATAGAATAAAATTTTAGTATAATGGTAAATGTAACGAAATTAATGTTGACAAAAAAAGTCGAAAATTAATAAAAAAATATATATATACATATATCTAAAATGGGTCTTAGAGCATACACAATAGTGAGACTCTGAATCCTTAATCTTATAATACTATTTTTTTTTGGAATAGTTAAAGACTCTAATTCAAATGGTATGTCCGATGGTGAGCCTCACTTTTGGAATCTTTATTAATAAAAAATTATTAAAACATATTATTTTTTTAAAAAAAGTGAAATTATTATTTTGTATTTATAACATGATTAAATATATATAAAGATACAATATTTATTAATCTTCAATATGATTATAAAGATACAACATGATTCAGATTCATGATTATAAATATAACATAAAATATAAAGATACAACATGATAAACAATCACCAAATTTGTTCTAAATATTTTTAGTTAAATCATTTTTCAATCATTGATGTAATCGCTTATCGGGAACATCATCCCAAATGACGAGCATATTATGGATATTTGTAGACATGTCAGTATCCACCCGTGAACTTCTCGAGAAGTCTCCTTCTTCTAATTCAGATATATCGTATTGAGTGTATCCATCTCGTTCATTTTCGACTATCATATTGTGTAGTATGATACATGCTCTCATAATCTTCCCTATTTTTTTCTTGTCCAATGAAAGAGCCGGGTTTTTCACAATTGCAAAGCGAGCTTGCAATACTCCAAAAGCCCGCTCCATATCTTTTCGGGTTGCTTCTTGAACTTTAGCAAATAACTCTGCTTTAGAACCTTGATGGTGCGAGATAGATTGGATAAAGGTTGACCATTTGAGATATATACCGTCTGTGAGATAATAAGCCAACTTATACATGTGTTTGTTGACCACATACTCTAACCTGGGAGCTCGGCCTTGGAAAATGTCATAAAAAACGGGAGACCGATCGAGGACATTAATATCGTTTAAGGTACCTGGAGGAACCAAAAAAGCTTGTCATATCCAAAGATCTTGTGAAGCCACAGCCTCTAAGACAATTGTCAATTTTTCTGATCCACGTGCGTACTGTCCTTTCCAAGCGGTTGGGCAATTCCTCCACTCCCAATGCATACAGTCGATGCCTCCTATCATCCCAGGAAACTCATGTTTCTCTCCAATATCGCGCAGTCGTTGAAGATCCTCTGGTGTGGGTTTTCGTAGATACTCATCTCTGAATAATTGTGTTATTCCGTCAGTGAAATGGTGTAAACACGAAAGTGTCGTGCTTTCACCAAGTCGGAGATATTTATCTACCGTGTCAGCCGTAGAACCATAAGCAAGCAGACAAATAGCTGCCGTACATTTTTGTAGTGGAGAAAAACCAAACCTCCCGGTTGCATCTCTTCTTTGTCGAAAGAATGGAACTTCTCTGAAAGGTCATGGTCAATACGCAAGAATAATTCCTTATTCATGCGGAAATGGCGTCTGAATAAATATGCCGAGAATATTGAATCTTCGCTGAAGTAGTCATTCCATAAACGGTCGTGTCATGCTTCACGGTTTCGTTCTATATAAACATGTTTCCTTTGCTTATTGGTTTGGGACTCCACTATGTCATTGTATGTATCTTCGACGATTTCGTCTAAAATTTATTCCAGTCTTTCTTCGACGTCATCAGATGAAGATGATGACATCTTTAGTTATCCCTCCTTGAAACCAATAATATTGAACAAAAATAGTTCCAAATTTTAGTAAAAAAATTTAATTTTTCTTTTCAACATTCTATACCAATTCAATTTTTTAACAATTTTTAATATGGTTTCTATAAGTTTTATTTTTTTCAATTTTTTCAAGATTCTATAGCAATTATATACCAATTCATTTCAATTTTTAATATGGTTTCTATAAGTTTTATTTTTTTTTTAATTTTTTTCAAGATTCTATAGCAATTCTATACCAATTCATTTTTTAACAATTTTTAATATGGTTTTTATAAAAAAAATTTCAATTTTTTCAAGATTCTATAGCAATTCTATACCAATTCATTTTTTAACAATTTTTAATATGGTTTCAATAAGTTTTATTTTTTTCAATTTTTTTAACATTCTATACCAATTCTATGCCAATTCATTTTTTTTAAACAATTTTTAATATGGTTTCTATAAGTTTTATTTTTTCAATTTTTTCAAGATTCTATACCAATTCATTTTTTTAACAGTTTTTAATATGGTTTCTATTTTTTCATTTTTTTCAAGATTCTATAGCAATATGTCAATATGACTTTAGAAACATGGTAACATACTCTACGCATTTTTTACACAAATTATATAAGTGATATGTTTCTATTTTTTACACAAGTTATATAAGTGATATGAAAACTGTAAGTGATACAAGTTATATAAGTGATATGAGAAATGTATGTGCTATGTTTCTATTCAAGATACGACATAAAAACATACGACACAAGTTATTATATAGAGAAGAGTCAGTGTTACCTAAACAGAAGTGGAACTTGTGATATAAAGAGAAGCAAAAGAAGCAACTTCTTGTTGTAGCAGGGTGCTCTTACAACTACGTGGTAGCAAAATATTACAACCTCTCCGAGAAACATTACTTATAATACATGGTACCAAAATATTAAAGCCTTTCCGAGAAACACAAGAACATGAGGCTAAAGGAAACATGAAGATAGAAGTTTTGATGAACGAGCTACATTGCTAAAGACAAACATGACAACTACTTATAATACATAAATGAAACAGAAGAACCCGTGACTTGGTTCACATGAGCTAAAGACCAAAAGACTTTCACACCTCCAAATGCACCCATGACTTGCTTCACCTGCCTTCTATGGACCCTGACACATCAAATAAGACAACAGCTAGTATAATTTTGAAGTCCCAAGTTCACAAAACAAGATTAATACCTCAAAACAAGATTAATACATCATAACATTTCAGACACTAGTTTGAGTTTAAGATTTGTTTTCATCTCAGAGAGTGCCTCTGTCTTCGTGAGTAAACGATCAAGGAGTTTATGTCTAGAGAGTTGTTCTTTCATTTCTAAAATACCATGTAGCTTTTTCAACTCCTCTTCTCTAACACTCTTCTTCTTCTTACTACCAGCTTTCGCAGCCTTTACCCCGAGAGGTCTACCCTCTGGTTCTCCCATTTCCCCTTCTTCTCTATCAACCTCCAACACTTGTTTGCGCTTCTTCTTTCCACCGTCCTTAACCTGATAGGTGGCGCACCATTTCTGGTCATGTCTCAGCTCCCTCCAGCAGTGATCCAGGGTGAACTTATAGTCGTTATTATTGAAGAATATCTCTAACGCAGCTTTCACATCATCATCATTTTGACCACTTCTCTTCTTCCTCAGGGCTGCATCATAGCATCCAGCAAACTTGGATACTTGCACATTAATCCGAGCCCGCCTCTGCTTGCAAGGACGAAGCTTCCTTGGTATTGTCCCAACCAGGTGAGGGCTTGCGTTGTAGTAGTCTAAAATCCGGTTCCAGAAAGCATCAGCTTTCTGCTCGTTGCTTATGACATGGTCCTTACTGCTGTTAAGCCAAGCACCAATAAGGATTTTATCCTCTTTGGGAGACCATTTCCTCCTCTCCTTCACACCAGACTCATCAGGAACTTGGCTATCGAACCAAATAGGTTCGAGTGAATCAAGGTCTATTGGAATTTGACTATATAGTAGGTTTACATAGCCAGACGTGTTAGCCATTGTTAGATGATGCTCTGTGCCATTATACCAACGAAAGCAACGAGTTAGAGAAAGTAAAGAGAAGAGTACATCTTAGAAAAACGAAAGCAACGAGCAAGGAAGCAAAGAACATATCGATTGAACAAAAATGACAAATCAATTAGAACTGATTGAAAGCAAACACATATAACATAAGAAAACACATAGTCGTTTTAAATAAATGGAAACATAAAAGGTTTTGAAACCGTTAATCGATTGAAACCAAAATTGATTTTGAAACCGTGTAAGAAAAAAAAGAGAAGATCCACTTCCGATTGAAACCAAAATCGTTCCCAAACCCTATCTACAAACGCACCCTCTCCCCAAATCGATTTATACCCAAATCGTTTTGAAACCCTAATTTCAGTCGTAAAACGA